GCCTTCGTGGTAATAGAGGATTAAGCTGATGCATCTGGAAAGCATCTTTTCTTGTGCCTTTATGCACTTATCAACCTGCAGTGTGTACTTGGATGGTCCTTTGCCTGAGTTGTTTTGATCAGTTGTGAAAAATCCATGTTTTGCCATGGCAGTGAGAGAGAGCACAGGGAGCACCTACAACAATCTCCTGAAAGGCAGGTGGCCTGGTGGTTAAAAGCTTTGTTGAGCATAAAATGTGCAGTATCTGTTTGTTGTGGATCTGATGGTAATGAAGAGTAATTCTTGAGGCAGTCACTGTTTCAAGGCACTCTCCTTTTGCTCCTCACTCAGTACTTCTGTGGTCTAGCTTGCTGTCAAGCTGTAGGCTGCAATAATGGACACTTGGGGTTTTTTCTCTCAGCCCTGCTGCCTGGCTGGAGTGAGAGCACTGCAGTGTGTAAAGGCCAGCTCCAGAACCATTCCCAACTCTGTGCTGCTTGGAGCAGCTCCCAGGGAATTTAGGAAGGAGGCAGCTGAAGATGTCTGCTGGGGTAGAGGTTTGCACCCCCTCCCAAGTCAGGGTTAGCAGCCATGTGGAGAGTTCATTAACTCAAGAGTGGCATAAACTGCCTTCATTCTTGTTGTTGGTTCAGTTGCATAAAATACTGACATGTTTTGCCCTGTAAGCTACAGAATTCTTTAGATGGAAATCCCTTATCTGCCAAGACACTTCACACAATGATATAGGTTTATAGATCTCGTGCAGGTTAACTGAGAGAAAATAGTGAGGGTAGGACAAAAATCCACCATCCTTGTTTACCCCCAATCTGTGGCATCTAGAAAAACATCAACAAATAACTGCAGCACTTAACTCATAATTTTTAATACACCAAGAAAAATTCCTATAACCAATTGTACTTATGTAGTGACCCCACTGTTGCCCTCACCTCACCTCACCATTAAATAAATAAAACTGTCCGTGCTTTGGCCTTCATATGTTATGCAAAGTAATGTTTGATTGGCCATGGCAACTATGAAATAGCACTTTAGTTGACCATTTCCATGAAGGTAATTATAGAGAAGGTGTGCTAGGTAATAAGGCTAACATAAAAAATACTAAACTTAAACTAAATGTAAACACTTAACATTATTATCAGGATCTGATTCAAGTATTTCCCTTGTTTTTCATTTTCACACATTTACAAGCCACCAGTGACCTGCAAGGTATGTTAGAACTATGATTCATCATCAGTGGGGCTTATACAGATGTGTGAATAAGACAAGGGGAAATCTGCACATAACTCACCATCTCTCATTAGAGCCACACATCTGATCTTTTTTTGCCTCTGGTTTTCTGCAGGTCACTTGAGAGTATGGCTATCCAAGTACTTATTTTGCAAGGAATTATTACCTCAAAGAATTGAAATTATCATTAAATACTATTCCAGTTACTGGAAGGATGGCTTAGTCCTGTGAAAAAAAGCACCTACTAAGCCATGTTTTCCAGGAAGTAGTCTCCAACAGAAGATTTTTTTATAAAGCTGATGCTGATAAATTTTCCCCTTTGGTTTATTAGCAAACTGAAATAGCTTGAGAAATATAATGCAAGAAGTCTGCCTTTTGTCAGACTATTCTCACTCCAGCTGTATAAACCCAAGGAATTATGCATTGTACTTACTAAGTAGGATATAAAACACCCCTTGTGAGCATTTCAGATTTTCTTAAAAAAACCTGGATCATTATGAAGAGACTTGAGTCGATTTGTCCCTGGCTGCATGGCTGCAGTGTGCCTGTGATTCTGATGTCTGCATTGGTACTTCATTGCACTGCCTGCTTACTCTTATTTCACATAGTTTGGGTTGGGAGGTCATCAGGTCCAATCCCCCTGCAATGCACAGGGACACCTTACACTACACCAGGTTGTTCAAAGCCCTTTCCAAGCTGCCCTTGAAAATTTCCAGGGATAAGGCATCCACCACCTCTCTGGGCAACCCATTTCAATGTTTTACCACCTCCATTGTAAAAAATTTCCTCCTTATGTCTAAGCTAAATTGACCCTCTTTTCGTTTAAAACCATCGCCTCTTGTCCTGTCACAGCAGGCCCTGCTACAAAGTTTGTCCCCATCTTTGTAATCTCATTTTAGGTACTTGGGAGGTGTCTCTGGAGCCTTCTTTTCTCCAGGCTGAACAGCCCAAACTCTCTCAGCCTTTCTGATTCTGATAAGAGAGGTCCTCCCTCCAGCCCTCTGATGATGTTTGTGGCCTCCTCTGCTCCTCTTCCAACAAGTCCCCCTCTTTCCTGTGCTGAGGACCCTGGAGCTGGGCACAGCTCTTCATCTTTACTCTTGGAATCCAGAGAAAGCTGCCCTTTTCCTGGAGGGGAAGTTTTTTTGCTGCCCTGTGGGTCAGTGAGGCTGCAGAAGCAGTGCAGGAGGTGGATGTCCTGCCTGTGTCTGGTGCCCTGCTCAGGTCAGTGGCACGTGGAGTGTCCTGTTCCCAAAGCCAGAGCTTTGGCGCGCGGGGTTGGCTACCAGCACGTCTTTTTCTGCCTAACTCTGTGATCTCTCTGTCTGTCAGTTTACACATATGGAAACGTTTTTCCACCTTTCAGATTAATTTAAAGATGGGGATTAATTTAACTTTACAAAGTGCTTTTTGATTCCCAACTGAAAGCTACTGTAGTAGCTCAAAATACACGGATGAACCAGCACTGGCTGAGGAGCTGTGATGTGTGTTGGTGTATTTGACAGTGATTTCTTTTTGCTTACCCTGACTCAAGGACTGAGACAATCCTGTGTATTCCTTCTTTCTGTAGGACCTTCCTCCCCTCTCTCTCATGCTTGCATCCACTCCTCAGTAAAAGTCAGGCATAAAATAGCTGCTGAATAAATAAATACAAAATATTTTGTTTTCAGATGTTTCACTTCTAGTGGCAGTATCAGTGCATGATAGTCTTCATTAGAGGGGCATTGCAGTAAACCCACATGGACAGACCAAGGCAGGGGCTGCCTTCTAGAATAATTCTTCTACACCTCTTGGAAACACTGCACCTTTTTTCTGGGGAAAAACAAATAAAGGATGAAGAGTGGCAATAGAAACTTCTGATTAATTCCATGGCCAGGTGGCAAATGCATTACTTGTAGCAGTTCTCTGTCTCCAGTGTTGGAAGGAAAAATCATAGATAGAAGTGTTTTCTTCAGCCGTGATAGTGTTTTAGCGCTGGCTTCCATTCTTTCTCACAGCTTTTAGCAGAACAGGTTTAAAGTCCTATGGTTTCTGTTTCAGTGTGTTTCTCAAGTTTCCAGCTTGTACCACAGTTTTTCTGGAGGCTTTATCTGAGAATATTCTGCTGTAGTTCTTTGTTATGTGGTGAGAATATTTTCACAGAAATTTCTAGAACCCTAATAAAAAACAATTTAATTACATTTCTTCTGTCACGTTTTCTCCTGGCGATTCTTTGTGGTTTTCCGCTTGCATATGGCTGTCTACAAATGGATTTGGACTTGGCTAATGTAACAAATGGGATGTTGCTTGGGATCACATCACTGAAATTAAGTGAAAATAACAAAGGGAAAAAAGAAACAAAAAGGTAAATGAAGGTAACCATCAAGCAAAGAGCCCTCCCAGTGGTACCTCAGAGGCTGTGGCACAGTCTTTCAGAGCAAACAGTAGATGATTCACCATTTCAGACATTTCAATCCAATCTAGAAAGCTGTAGTAAATATATTATAGGGAACATTCCTGCACTGGCAGGGGGGTAGACTAAATGAGCTATTACCAGTAGCTCTTTTCCATGTCTGACTGATAGTTGGCTAGGAACATGTTTGCTGTAGTCGCCAATTTTTTTTCTTTTTTTTTTTTTTCTTTTTTTATTTTTTTTTTTTTTTCACTTGGAGAACACTAGTGACATTGGCAGAAGAATGCTTCCAGTGTTTGAAAGAGGTTTGTATGGAAGGGTGGTCCCAAAACCAGGCTATTTTCAGAGGAGGCATTAACACTGATAGCCTTAATCCTTTCCTAAAGGCTTTTTAGAAAGGTTTTCATAGGATCTGACTCATGTGAGAGGGTGTGGTGGTATTGGGGATATCTGTGGATTAGCTGCTACACATATTTTCAAGTCTTTTAAATTCACAGTCAAATGATTCTACATATATTAAAAGTGCCCTTTTTTTTGGTGGGATTTTTTTTTCTTTTTCTTTGGGTTTTTTTTTTTTTTTTTGAGTATGATTCATAGCTTTTGATTTTTCTTGGAATTTTTTCTTCCCTTATAACCACTGTCCTTCTGGGTAGAAAAATAATTTCTTCAGCACAGTTATGAAAGTGAGATAGTGAGTTCCTCTGTGTCTGCTGAACTCTTATTATTAAAAAAAACATCTAACAACAGTACAAATGAGAGTGATGGTGAGTTGTGTTTAACTCAGGTTTTCAGATATGTTTATAAAAGACTTTTTCCTTTGAAAGTGCACCTTGGTGGCAGCAACAGCAATAGGAGTTATTGACAATTTAAGTACTATATAATTTAATCCTAATCAGGGATGTAGGTGATATAGCAGGTTATAGAGGGATGTTAATACTTATCCTACATCAGTGCTTTGACACTTACAGAAATCATACCTTTACCTAAGTTTCTGACATAAATATAATTGTCTTAGAAACCTGGAAGGGTTGATTTTTTGATCCTCAGTGTTTAAAACTTGAAACTTTCTCAAAATAGGCAGTATTATTTCACTTTATTAATCTGACAGAAAGGCAGTGGGAAACAGATGAAAGGGCAAAGAAACATTGAAGGGGTACACCAGATCAAAGCCTGCATACAGATTTATCCTCCATGGCTCATTTTCCTCTAGAGGAACAGGTCTTAGTGTGCAGCATATTGCAATATGCTGCTGCTGCTGCTGCTCTTTGGTTCTCCTAAAACTTTGCTTACAGTAAAGCTGCAAAATGAAGAGCTGGATTGCTCTAAATTTCCTCTCTTCTCCTTACCCCTTTTTTTTTGTTTCCCCCCACCATATGATGCCCAGGGACTCCAGAAAGCCTCGCTGAGAAAGAAAGGCAGCTCATGGGTATGATCAATCAGCTGACCAGTTTGAGGGAACAGCTGCTAGCAGCTCACGATGAACAGAAGAAGCTGGCTGCATCTCAGATCGAGAAACAACGCCAGCAAATGGAGCTGGCTAAGCAGCAACAAGAACAGGTGAGTGATTATGACAGTGGCTTTCAGCTTAAATCATTTCCTAGAAAGACTTTCCAGTAGTTTATCTTTCAGGCTTCATACTCTAAAAGTTGTTCTGCACCCGAAATCTTTTCCATTTGTTCTCCAAGGTGAAAAAGTTTGAACAAAAACATATCAGAAGAATGATTTAATTTGAAATATATCCATCTTGGAGTTGTTCAGAACCTGGTGCCAGTAATGCCAAGGTTGTGAGTTCAGCCTTTGCATGGGCCATTCACTTAAGACACTTGACAGTCCTCGTGAGTCCCTTGCAGCTCAGAATACTCTGCAATTATATATTATCTTTCAATACTTTTTTTGGGGTTTTAAACTATCTGTAAATAAACAGGCAAATTCAGCCCTCCTGAATAATCTGGTGAAGCTGCTTTAATTCAGTAATACTGAATAGGTATAAAAAGAACAAAATGCAGAACTTGGATTGTAATGTGAGAAATGAAAAGGTTGGGTTTTGCCAACTGTGGAAAAAAGCAAAGAATAATATAAAGTCAGTGAACAAGTGTGACTTTTATTCTTCTGCACTTGAGAGGCTTGATTTTCAGTTCTTGCAAGTATGCCCTTCACTGGAAATGCAAACATGGTTTTCACATGTGATCAGTTCCAGTGTGCATACACGGACATACAACGTTTTAGGCAAAAACATAACTTTTCTCACAGATTCCACTGTGCAGATTTTAACAGAAATTAATGTCCACTTTTGTACTTGAACATGAGCAGAGAATATTTAGATGTTTAGTCCAAAATTTTATCACAGAATTGCAGCTATGTCTTATGAAACTCACAAAGTTCTTTTAAATCTGTCGTAGTTGTCATATTCAGTGTTGGTATTGTGCTTAAGCAAGGCTTAAGATTTCTAAACCACTGCTGATACCTTCAGACATTTAAGCCTTGGTTTTCCCTGTTTTTAATTATTTAAAAACCTTATCTTAAATAAAGGGTGTTTTGGCCTTATGCCTGAAATCCCACACAGGGAGAACAGAAGTGACTTACCTTGGGGAATTCGTATCATGCTGTTGTTAAAACAGCAAAGGTGGATGAAGGAGTGAAGATGGAATTGGCAAGATTCTTTCACGAGGAGACATCCTGTAGGAGCTGCTCCTTTTATCCTGCCTTTTAAAGTCACTAGTGCCACAGGATGGCTGAGGGATTTGAAAGTGAATAAGAAAATGAAAACACATATACTTCTGTATTATGCAGAAATTAAAATATCCAGACTCTGAAAAAAATGTAGTGATAAAAATTACTTTTCTTTCTTGAAGAAAGGCTCCAGAGAGAAAACATTTATTTCATCTGTTAGATGTGGAGCTAACTATGACTGAGTGTTTCTTATGCAAATAGTCTAATAATAGAAAGAAAAGAAAACACCTGAGGGGAAGAAAGCACAAAATTTCTCCCAGTAAGTATGTATAAGTTACCAACTGACCCTGAGTTGTGTACACATAACACAGGGGAAGAGCAGAGCTCTTTCTAATGTTTGTACTGCTGCACTGGCTGTTCATGAGAGCAGAGCTTTTGTGATAACTTAAATGAAAGTTTTTAAAATTTGCTTTTTAAGTTCAAGAACGGTTTGTCTGCCTCCAGCCTTTAGAACTCTTAATTCCATTCTGTTAATGTCTGCTTTTTTCCTTCACAGTGTCTAAAATGTGTCTATGGCAGCGTTTGCAATCATTTAGCAGAGAGGGAGGGTGGAAGTCCTTAGGGAAAATTGCACTTGGCTTTGAGAGGAGACTTAGAACAACTCCATCCCCTTCCATAAACGGGTTTCAGTGTTGAGCTTTGTAGCCTTAGCGCTACTGCCCCCTTAGTTTCTTGCAGCTGATACACACATTGAAGAGTCAGTGATTTTTCCAAACTCAGTTCCAGTCTCTTTGTGCCTGTTTCTACATTTAAAAAAACAAGAAGTACACTAAGAACCTTCCTCCATGGTGTCAGATTGCCACTTTTTTGGAATTTTTGAGCAAGTGGTGCCAAACAGAAGAATATTTCTGGCCATCCTACTTTTTTTGCCTTTTCCACTTTCCTCCACTATTTTTCAGTTTCCCTGCCAGTATTGTTCTCTCTCCTGGGGAATTTTAGCAGTGCCATTTCAGTAAGATTTTTTTCATAGGTCCTTGTCTTCATTTCCAGTATGTCATTTTCTGTAAGATTCCCTTTCTCACTAGTATTAGCAATGAATTGTTCCTGAACATGTGCCCCTTGCTTCAGCAGCAGTCTCCAGGCTGCTGCCTCCTGTCCTTGAAGGTTTCTTAGCTCAATGGAGAGGTTTAAAGAACTAAGCAGGGTCGAAGCTTCCAATGGATGGAATCTGGGAATGGTTATCCATATCTCATGTTTCTTCTGTGCAATTTCTTCACAGATTGCAAGACAACAGCAGCAGCTTCTGCAGCAGCAACACAAAATTAACCTTCTTCAGCAACAGATCCAGGTCAGAGACACGTCTCCTCCCATGCCCCTGTTACCTCTCTTCCTTTCCCTTTCCCCACTCTTTCCCTCAGCCATTATTGCCACAGTTTCTTTAAGAATCTCTGCAGTTGGCTGGCATCTTGTTTATGGAAACACATGAGGATTTTACCTGTCATTTAGCAAAAAAGGTTGGTTTCTGGAAGGCCTTATATGATTAACATGGGTCCTGTAGGGTCAGGAAGATGTTAGAGGAGCTGGTCACTCAAACAAGCATTTGCAGGACCAAATCCTCTTTCCTCAGGAGTGACAAAAGCATTGCCAGAAAGAGTTTGTTTGGAACTGATGTCCCACAGCTCCGTTTTTAAGGATTTGCTGAAGCAGTTCTCTTCAGTGATTGATAATGTAGTGCACCTTCTTCCCTCTGCCTGAGGTGTTGGAAGTCTGGGAATTTTTATTTGTGGCAAAGTATTGTGTAAGTGAGAAACTGGTCAAAAGGTTGGTCAGATTCAGGAGAGCAACTGTGTAAATTCCAGGTATCTACAGGTTTATTTCCAGTAGTAGAAAAAGCTGTTAAACCAGCATAACCAGTAAACTTTATTTAGCCTCTTTCTTCCTTTATGTATTCAGAAGTTCCTTTTCGTGCTATTGACTGTAGTTGATTACTTTTCTCCCATGTGCATGCTTCTGTTTTGGGAACAATGCAAATCAGTTTGCCTGTGAAGGTTTCCAAGGAATAACAAAGGAGAAGTTTGACTTCTTGCTGATATCTAGGATCAGGGTAAAATCTCTGTTTTTCTGGTGATGCAGTTTGTACAGAGCATTGCAAGTTGCTGTAGCCTGTTCTGTTCGTTCAGTGGCAACAGCATTCTCCTTCCAAAGCTTTTCATTGCTATTTCAGAGTGAGTTGCCTAAAATGATTAGTGACAATTGTAAACCATTTAAGAAAACTTAATTCCAGCCAGATCAGAGGAGCTTCATACTAGAAGAAAACTTGGCTCTGTCATTCCAGAGGATATTCTGTCCATATCAGGACTTGTGCATTTATGAAAAACTCCTGGGAAGGTCCACCCCTCTGTTAAAAGGCAACTTCTGTACAAAATGTGCTTTGCTGAAAATAATTTTGAGATTGGTAAGACTTGGTTTGGCCTTGACCTCTGTATTCTTTTCTTCTTCTTTAATTTGTGTGTGGGAGGGATTTTTCTTTATTGCTGCATTTTTAATAAGTTTTTAAAAGAAAAACAATAGCAAAACCTGTACAATAGCACAGAAGATATTTATATTTTTAGCATTTAGCTATGGCAGCGAGAGAGGAAGTTGTTTTATAAGCAGTGAATAAAAATAAATTGAAGTAACATAATTTGACCCCAACCCTTTTAAGTTTTAACGCCTTGTAGATAAGAATGAAGTATGTTGTTTTTAGGGTAGTGAAGAAAACCCTGGTTATTGATAATGAGATATAGAGCCTTTCATCTCTTGATCTCTGGTCCAAGTTTGACCTAAGTCAGTAGTAAATGAAAGTCAGCCAACTACCATCTGATAGAAGCTGCAATCCTTAGAAATGATTTGGAGGTCGGTCTCAAGGGATTTCAGATGAAATACTGACCCTGCTGAGGTCAGAATTTCACCTCCAGGGTCCACTTCACACAAACCCCATGAGATTTGTGGCACCCTTCTTTTGGATGGTCAGGCAAGAATTGAACAGGCAGTGAGACAATACTGTTCTCTCATTCCCACAGAGCTGTAGTGAAATTTTGGTTACACTGCACAGGCAGTCTGGACAGTTCCATGCCCTTATGATCCTCAAGTCTCATGAACCCATGAGTTGCAGCCCATAATTGTGAAGGGAAAAAAGTTTAAAAATAAAAAAATAATCCTTATCAACATTGAATACAAAGCAAAATACTTCTCCTCAATTAGTGACTGTCAGAGAAGAAACAATTCTTAAAGAAATCATCTTTTATATATAAATTAAGACAATGAAGTCACCCTAACGTGCCCATGTTTAAAATGGTCAGTGAGTTTACAGTCAGTTTATGGGTTATGGTAGGTGGAAGAAAACTGTGACAAGAATGCAGCTCTGAGTTCAGTTTTTCTGACCTTGCCCTAATTAATCTAAGAGGCTTCTGTCACACTGGCCTGAAGATTGAAATAGCATTAGATTTATTGACAGGGAAATACTCCTACAAAGAGTGGATAACTCTTGGACTTATGTGCAGTTGAATGATTATGCTGTAGTTATGTACACAACTTATTTATGACAAAGGAATTGTTTTACTTGAGCCAATTTTTTTCTAAGCTTGTAAGAGTTGCCATAATTCCAGATAAATTATTACACAGAAAAAAGCTACGAAATATTGGATTGAAAGCATCATACCCTAAGGTTAAAATAAAGCATAACCTGGCTGACCCCATGATTTATGAGTCCTTTCTCTCAGTGTGCTAACTTGGAAACAGTTCCCTCTCTCCTTACCCCATCACACAATCACTGAAAAACAAAACGTAACCAGGGGGAGACTGACGTCTCTCTCTGCCTTAGAGAACTGCAAATGCTCAGTGTAACTACAGCTCAATTAAACCAGCACTTCTGTGATGCTGGAGAAAGATGCTTTAGTTCCTGGAGCTCAGAAAAATGTACCTGGCATGTGAGTCTCTAATTGACATGTCTTTTTCAAGCCTGTCTCTTCTGAATTAATTGGAAGGTGGTGTCACTAGAACAGAAGACAAGTTTGTATGGAAAGTTAAGTAAACTGGAGAAAAGTTGCAGATTAGATTAAATGTGAGAATCTGGATGACCTCAAAATGCTGAAACAGGTACTAGATGGGATTTTGTGTTTTGGCAAATGTTTGTAATTTTTTTCCTACTTTCCAGGATGTTCTAGACCTAGTCTGTGAAGAGGTTTGAGTTTCTCTGAATAATTAACTAACCCTCCCCCATTTGTTTTTATGCTACTTTGGAATGCATCCTCCCATGCACACTGCTTTCTGTTCTACCTAATCTTTCCGTGTAAGGTTTTCACTGGAGCAGTTTCTGCCTGCTGAGTATTTGTGGTCTTCTCCCCTGCACCCCTCAGTCGTCCTGTTGTACCGTAGATGGAACTGGAGCCTGTGTTTTCACAGCTCTTGTGCAACAACCACCCCAAAGATTTCAGGTTGTATTTTAGAATGGTAGTGATTTGCAGCTGTAGAACAGGCTGACACCTAGTACAGCTCAGCAAGTTCTTGGCTTCAGTTTGGTTTTGTCCTTCAGGGCCTCAAGGGAACTGTCCTGGTTGCCTACTCATCTTTTGCAGGGTCGTAATCTGCTTCCTGGTGCCCTTACTCTAGAGCCTGGGGAAGTCTGAGGCTCTGTAGCTATCATGTCAGCTGGGCAGAGAGTGGAAGAACCTTGGAAGATGTTTCTCATGATGCTGAGCTTGTCCCCCAGTACACCCCAAAGGTGTCCTGCTTCAAAGGCTGTCTCTGAAACACAAAGTTTGGAGGGGTCATGCAGTTCACTTGCTCAAGAGAAAAAGTCTAGCCCAGGATGATGATGGAAGGGTTTGCTTTGAAGCTCAGTGACGAATGTCACTTTAATTGAACTATATTTAAAATGAAATATGGTTGTTAAAATTCATAAAGTAATTCATATTCAGTAGGGCACTGTTGATAAAATAGGTCAACCTTGCAGCCTAAATTGTGATAAAACTGATACTGCTAATCTCACAATTTTGTAGAAAACCTGACAATGGTTTATATTTTTTTCCTCAAGCCCCAGCTTTTGGAGTCATGTGATGACAAAAATGCCAGCTTTCATTTCTCCAAAATGTAAACTTCCAAGTCTCATATTTCCAGGCAAAATCTGAAACCATGAGCACTACAAGTTCCAAAATTAGAAGGCAAACAAAACAGAGGCCAAATGCTGTTTTCCAGTCTGTTCTGATTTTTAGACAAAAAATTTTTTGGGGAGCCCAGCTCAAGATCTTGGAACACTTCAGGTTGCCAGTAATGTAAAACTAAGCTCTCTAAACAGCAGGAAGCAAAAATGCTGCTTTAAAGTGTTTCTAGCATTTAGGCCACAGTTTTGTTTGACTTTTTTGGTTTAATACTGTCAGTACTTGCTTAATAATTTGTATTTTTTTCTGAGTGACATACTTAGCCCAGGAACCGAGTGCTTTCTGAAACTTGAGGGCAATTCCTGACAGACAGTAACCATTTGATGACTGTGTGTTTTAGGAGAGGGTTTTCATTTTCCTTCAGTTCTAGAGCAGATGTTTTAACAGGACCCTTTTTTGGTGAGAAAGTTTTGACCACTGAGAAGTGGGGGATCCCAACTAAATTCTGATGCAAAGCTGTAATGAGTGTCTCTGGCCTTCTCCACCTGTTACCAAGTGCCTGAAATATTGGAATTAATTTCCCCAACACTGAAGAGGTGTTAAAATAATTTCATTCAGGCCTGAAGGTGCACGCAGGAGATTCTAAAGTGGGCGCGTGATTCTGCAATAGGGTTATTTATGTACAGTCCCTCTGTGCATAGAACAGTTAACCTCATCACCACAAATCCCACCCCAAGTTCCCAGAGATTCAGTCCTTTGTTTTGTCTATCACTGCCTTCCTGGGCCAGATGTCTTATTCTTATATCCCAGCTGTCCTTGCTGAAAGCAGCTTTTGCAGGCCTTCTTTGCTAAAAGTTTCACAGGCACAGTAAAAATTGAATTAACCTGTTTTGTATCACACTTGCCAGGTGGGATGTGGCTTTGCCAGCTCCCAGGTGGAAAGTTTGCTGTGGCCTCGATGGCCTCAAGCTTTGCAGAGCCTCAGCAGCTTGTCTAGAAGGAGGTGTGGGCACCAGAGCCCTCCGGGCATCATGCTGCAGGCTTTCTGGCTTTCAGAATCACTCAGCTGCCCTGCATGTCCTCCCAGCTCCAAAGGAGGCTTTCCTTTGTGAGTCTGGATCCAGGTTTCCATCCTCCCACCCGAAGTCAGCTGGCTGTGTCCCTTTCCCCATGAGCTGTGTTGGTAGATGAAGGGACCTGGCTGCACTAG